TTTGCCCTACTGTTTGCCATTGGTGAACTGGAAGTCTGTCCTTGTGTCTTACTTAAGTGTTTTCTCATTTTTATTTTTGTTGTTGGGTTGTCCTTGGTTTAATCTCTGGATTATTACCCAAATCTTCCTGATATAGTTGCGCCCTAGCTTCTGTGTCTCTAATGACCCACAGACATTCTCATCTTCATAACATCAGAGAAAACAGCTCATCAAATCAACGGCAATGCTTTACCCCAACTGATACAATCAGCAACATATTAAGATCATGCACAACTTTGACACTGACCACTGTTAGTAGTCACTAGTCTATCACCCTTAAATCATTTGAATTAAATTGAAATGAAGAAGCAGTCCAGAACATGTCTGCAGTGAACAAAATTTCAATATAGTGTATTTACCATTTAATGGCTCAGACAGAGCAAGGATACAAGACCGCTGGTCTCAGTTAGCTGATGGCTGAACCCCATGATGCTGACTGACCTTGGGCTGCAAGGCCCAGATTGATTGAGTTCCCCAACCTTCTGAATGGTTGAACTCCGCAACGTTCTATTACAGGTTTCCCACGCCCTTTCTTTAAAGATGTTCAAAGTTGGGAACTCGGAAAAGTACCCTTGATGACCACCTCTGCCTCTGCAGAGTGGGTCCAAAGACTGGCACAGTCAGGAAGACTGAGAGTGTGGGGGGGACACTTATGGGGGTTCAGGGGAGCCCATGTGGCTACCTTCCCGGTGCTTGAGTGATGGCGGCTGGATCGGGAGCAGGCGTGGCTCTCCTTCCCATGGTGGATCCTTTTCTGGCTATTTTTAATGATAAATATGCCTCCCAAATTTTGTCTCAATTTTTTTTCCGCCCTCCCTCCCTTCCTCTTTTCCTTTCTTCCTTTTCCATTTCCCCTTCCCCTGTCCCACCCTCTTCACTTTCCCTTCCCCTCCCCCTTCCTTTCTCCTTTCTCTTCCCTGCCCTTGGACAAGACATCACTCTCTTGTCCAGGCCCGGGTCAAACCTGCAGTCCTTCTACGTCGTTCTCACGGCACACTGGGATTATAGGTGTGAACCACCACATCTGGCTCCTTTTTGTATCTCTTATTTTGAAACAAGGTCTCACTAAATTGCCCAAGCTGGCCTCAAACTTGAGATCGTCCTGTCCCAAGTATCTGGGATTACAGGTGTGTGCCACCTCCCTTGGCTTATAAAGTATTCATTTTCTGTCCCAGATCAAGCCTGGTGATGAGATACTTTTAAGGGATTAGGGAGAGAGGTAGTAGGGATCAAACACTGCACATTTTTCATACCAGGTAAACACTGTACTACCACTGAGTTAGATCCCCAGAGAAATTTCTGAATGTCTCTGAATACAATGCGACTAAAAATTTCTCTCACTCTTAGTCCTTATTTATTCTTGATTACAGGCCTCTCAGGCATATCTGGCCAAAGTATTGAAAAATCAAACTGGGTGCCGTGGTATGTACCTATAATTCCAGAATTTAGGAGGCTAAGGAAGGAGGATTATGAGTTTGAGGCCAAAGGGAGACCTGGCATTAAAAAAAAAAAAAAAAAAAAAGCTAATAAACTTACTTCTATGCCAATTTCATGGAGCTGTTTACCTCAGAGTGCTATAAACCAGGTCTTGGTGAAAGATGTTAAGATTATTGGAAATTTTGGGCAAGATGCTAAGAATATTTGAACATTTAGAAAAATGATGCTTTTATCCTTCCCAGAATTTTCCTAAAGTATTCCATGCTTTAATTACATTTCAAATATGAGAAACACTTTTTATAACCAAGATTTGAGGCACCTCCCATTGGTGACTCATAAGGAATTACTTTATTTTGGGGTTTATGAGTTCAGGCAAAAAGGTTAAGGTAAAGAATAATTTTGCTATCTATGTCTTAGTCACTTTCTTGTCACTGGGACAAAATACCCAATACCCACAATGTAAAGGAAGTGAAGTTTACCCTGACTCACATTTTCATTCCATGGCTGGCTGCACGGCTGAAACAGCATGGTGGGAGAGCCAGGTGGAGGAAAGCTGCCCATGTCACAGCATGGAGGACGAGGGCGCAGAGAGGAGGGAGGAGTTGGGAGGGAGCCACAGCCTGGGTCATGCCCTGCCTCTTCTGACCAGGCCCCACCTCCTAACTCAGCTACTGAAGTCATATTAGGGATGAACCCACTGGTGAGCACAGTACCCCCTTGATCCAGTTGACTTCCAAAAGCCCCACCTGTGAGTGCGTGAGAGTTCTGGGGACATCCCAGGTCTAAATCATAATACCTCAATTGCTTTCTACATCTCTGTGATTCCTTACTCTGCACTGTTTTCATTTTTTTTTTTTTTTAAACAGGTGCAGATTTTATTACCATCTTGGAGAGTGATGCTTCTAAGCCCTATATGGGGAACAATGACTTAACCATGTGGCTAGGGGAGAAGTTGGGTTTCTATACAGACTTTGGTCCGAGCACACGGGATCACACCTGGGGGTGAGTCTACTTTGGGAATTAATCCTGAACGTATTCCTGAGAGAGCGAGCATAGGCTTGGAGTGGAAAGTGGACACTGTCTTGTCTTTGGCCCATGAATACACCCCTGTTGTCCTTCTTGGGGAGGTGCATTTTCTTTCTTTTTAACATAGTTTTCCTGATGCTGGATATTTCCAGTTCTTCACCATAATAAACCATTCAGGTTTGGAGCTGAGGTCACCGTACCAGGCCTGTCTGACCTGGATGCTCTCTTCAGGGAGTCTGTGGCCCTTCATATCTGCAGGTTCCACATCCACAAATTCAACCAATTGCAGATTTAAAACACGAAAAAAAAAATTCTAGAAAAGTTCCAAAAAGCAAAACTTGAATTTGCCACATGCCAAGTACTACACTAGTGATGTGTGGGCATTGTATTATTAGTAGCATAGAGATGACAGAATATATGGGAGAGTGTGTGCAGGTTATATGCAAATGTTCTGTGATTTTATACAAGGGACTTGAGCAGCCAGGATTTTGGTATCTGTAGAGTGTCCTGGAACCAGTCCCTCATAGATACTGAGAATAGGCATGAACATGTACACCCCCAAAAATTAATAAGTGAGTTTGAGATTGTGATAAGTGCTATGAAAAAAATGTGAAGGGGGAGACAAGGAGCTTGCGGGACAGTGGCTATTGAGGATAGTGGTCCTATAGGCAAGGTAGTCAGGGAGGCTTCTCTGGAGAGAGAAGGATGATGAAAAGGATCCAGGACCAGACCCAAGAAGAGCTGAGGAACAGCCAGAAAAAGATGTGAAGCAGGGTGGAACTTGGGGTATCTGCAGTGGAGGAGACCCGGGGGAAAGATGGTAAGAAATGAAGCCAGGGAGAGGCCTCTGTTACCCAGTAGTGATGCGATGCCACCAAAAGATTTTAAACAGAAAGTATTCTGATCTCATTTGCATTTTAAAAGATCCCTTTGGGAAGAGAAAGTGTGGGAGCCGGGAGACCAGGAAGAAGGTAGATACAGTGCACAAATGAGCTGACAAAGAATGGAGAAGGAGAGAAGAAGGCAAAGTCAGTAACTCTTTTGGAATAGAGCTGATGGGTCTCAGTGATGGTTTAAAGCTCAGTACCAAGGTGATGGCTAGGATTTTAACCTTGCATACCTGATGGGACACAGTGTTTACTGGGACTGGAATGCCCGGGAGAGCCTCACATAGGTGCTGAGTTTGAGATGGCCCAGGCAGCTAAGGGACATCTAGTGCATAGCCTGGAGGGCCGAACAGGTCAGGCCCAGCTGGAGACCATGTTCGGGTCAGCATAGTAGAGATGGACTTGTGTGCCCGGGAGGGGCCCAGAGGTAACACATGCGGCTGCTGAAGAGAAGCTGGCTGAGCTCAGAGTCCTGCTCCTCTCCTTCACATGTAGCTCTTTGCCGTTGGGTGAGGTGAGACGCCTTTGCCTTTGTTTGTGGAAGTTTCTGATTTCTAATTTTGCACATCGTGACTTTGTGTCCTTGCCAGCAAGATAAATTCCCAGGTGTTGATACTGTATTAGAGTGTTCGTGCAAATGGGCTGTCAGAATAACAACGCAAGTAAAATGGATTTGCGTCATACCGGGGATGCCCTCTGCACGTCTCCTTAGCACTCGGATAACACAGTTGGCACTGTGCTCGGTCGTAACAGCAAGACGTGCCGAACCGACATACTGCTCTACAGGTCTCCATGGCCTCGCTGCTCTCAGTGCCCCTCAGTGGGATGTTTGCAGTGTGACGTGTGTCTTTTTAGTGCATTTGCTTCCTCCCAGATGCATGCTACAATCTGTTCCTTGTCACTCTGATACAGGATTATGGTACTGTCAAGATACCCAATTGTGAAATCGGAGCATCACCTTCTTCCGTCGCCAGAGGGCGAGATCGCACCGGCCATAGCCCTGACGGTGAACGTCTCAGACAAACTGGTGGATTTCGTTGTGACACACTTCGGAAATCATGAGTGGGTTTCTTTGATATACTTAATATTATACATGGGTCAAAAAATACTATTCACATATTGCTTGGTTTCCATGAAGTAACTCTTTTTACTTTATTTTTTCACATCTGAAATTATTTTTCCCCCATGTTGCTGGTGGTGACCATCAGACATCAAAGCATTTGAGACATAGCAGTCCTAACATGAGCATGAGTCCACAGGACTGAAATGTGCAGTAATTCCCTGTGAGTGCATTACTACGTGCAGTACGGCCTCTCATCTTCACTCCGTACATCCCATTTCAGCCCCCTTTAAAAACTGATAAAGATGCTAAATTGAGAGGCTGAGGAGCTTAGATGACTCGTCCGACCAAAGTAGCCCAAGTAGGAAGAAGTTAGACAAATTCAGAGCCCACAAGTGTTTGGAGCCTTGTGGTGAACCAGACTAAAAATAAATTCCTTTATCCTTCGGGATTATTCGTATAAAAAGTTGCACTTTGGGATTTGAAGGTAGTGAATGACGTTCCTTTTCCCCTCATGTTTTCACAAACATCGGCTAGGCAGGCAGAAGAATCTAGGGGATGGAGGTCAAAATATCACTTTTAATACATGAACTGTCTGACAACCTAGTTTTTGTGTTCATCTGGACCTGTGAATCCAGCCCCCAAAAGTACATGAAGAGGATTCTTCCAAACTCTAGTCCCACACAGTAATGGCAGAGCCTGCCTTGTCAAGCTCTTCCTTTGGTGGAAAGAATTGAACAGAAAATACTTTGTATGCAGAGATTCCAAGGAGAAGAGAGAGGAAGGGCTGAGATGCGCATGTCTACTTAATTCTTCCAAACTAAATTAACTGAAGAAGTCCTTCCAAAAAGTAAAGGACATAGAGAGAGGCCAGTGGTGTTTAAAAAATGTTTTTTATTAATGAATTTATTTTTCCTGTACCAGGGATCAAACTCAGGACCTTGCACTTGTGAGGCAGGTGTGGCACCACTGACTGAGCTAAATCACTGGCCCCTAAGTGGCAGTTTTTTAAAAAAACTAACTCCTTCCACAAGAAAAACGAAAAATGAAGTAAGAATTTTGTCCCTAGTGACTAACAATCACAAGTAGTGACTTAGAACTAACTCATTGACCAAGGCCAATCATAATAATAATAACATATGGTAAAAGCAAAAATAACAGTATTCAGTTTGTTCTGTACCACACTAAAGCATGATCATTTAAAACACAGAGGTGAAATGCTGTATGCTATAAAATAAACATATAGTCCCTGCCCACATTAATAGTACAAGAGGTCACTGACCTTTAAAGAGACATAGAGAGCATTTGAAAAGCAGCTTTGTGGTACTGTCAGTTTCATCCAAACAAAATCAATGTACCTGCTACCTTTATTGTTTTGGTTACCTGAAAACAGTTTTATTCATACTGATATATGGATCTATGAAAGTATATTTGAATATTTTCTGAAATAAGTCAGAATATTAGAAACATAAACTGCCCCAACTTGATTAATATGAACCATTTTCTATCAGGCTCTTGCTTGTCTCCTTAGAAATAAGAGGATCATTTGGATGGCAAGTGTTGCACACCTGTACCCCTTTAGAAGTCTGGAGAATTGCCTCTGTTTCTCTTAGTAGTTTGAATGGGGCAAGCACAGGCATTCAAAAATAATTTCACTGACCTTATATTACACTTGGATTGCGTTTATCTTTATAATAGTAATTTTGTGTTTGAAGATCACAAGTCTCTACCTAAGAAGCAACTGATTCAAATCCCCACCTTTGCTGTTTCCCCTCCTCCACCTCATCCCTTTTAATTCTCCCCCCAAATTATACAGAATAGACTTGAAAAAGAAGAAAAAGTCAGAAACAGGCCTGAGAATGTGTTTGGAAGAGGAGGGGAGGATATTTTTCTAACTTTCTATTAACTGCTTAAAGCTCTCTGATTATACTATTCCTTTACTTGTCATATGCACAAGATTTAAAAATAACAATCAAACAATGGTGTGATAATAATAATAGCTATGATGTTTTAAGGAGATGTAACTCTAGGAGGGAAGCAGTGTAGTTTAATTTTTAGCAGAATGGGATTCCAATCCTATTCTAGGGTTTGGATCCAAATTTATCCATCATGTAACCTTCGTGGAGTTATTTAAGCATGTTGAGGCTTTTTCCTCTTGTGTAACTCAGAATGATGATGCTGCCTACTTCATAGGTTTGTTGTGAGAAGTATATGAAATGCATTATCTCATGCAAAGTACATAAATGTAGTGTGTGCTCAATTAATAGTGTGGCTATTTTAAAAACAAATTATGCAACTCTAAATGTGAGCTATATTGGGTAACTTAGAAAAGAGTTTGTTCATCAAACATGAGTTAAGCTCTTTCACGTCCCAAGCAGAGAGCCAGGCAGTCTGTTCTTATGAGCCACCACTCCTGTGGCCCTGTCTGAGGATGCTGTAGCTTACCAATACATGACAGAGGCTGGGTAACAGAGGAATGATTTAGAAAGTCATAATTATGTACTTGTGTTTGCCTTTGTTTCTCATAAAGCAAAGTAGAGGCAAATATTCTTATAGTGAATAAATAAAAATTTTGTTTTCTGGTGATTGTGACATACAAATGTGAAAATTCCATTAGGAATGAATTACAGGATGCTTGTGCATGTTATTAGCTAATTCAACAAGTGTTTAATTTACTGACTGTGATTTCTCCTTTACAATCAATAAGCAGGAAGTAGTGGCTTTTCTTAGAAATCATTCAGGGAAACACCATAAAGAAAATTAATATTTTAGTCATCATTGTTTTTCTAAATCTATAATGTGTATCACGTAAGAGATTAAATAAAAACAACCCAGCCTGGAGACTTATATGCTAGTTTTGAAGGTTAATGTTGGTGAGTTATAGTTTGTTGTCTTTTCAGTTCTCTTTTCCAGCTCACACGTTAGGGTCGTTGGATTGATGGAATATCAAGTGTGACAAGAAAACATAAAACATATGTTCTTTCTCTCTCTTACCCTTTCCTCATACATGTACATATACTTTTTATTGTTGTCACAGTGTAAGATCTATGTCCTAGCTGGGTGTGATGGTGCATACCTGTAATCCCAGCACTCAGGAAGCTGAGGCAGGAGGATCACTGAGAGTTTTGGGCCAGCCTGAGTTACATAGTGAGTTCAAGGCCAGCCTGAACTACATAGACCCTGTCTCAAAAAAACCAAAAAAATTATATATGTATATAAATTTATAAAAATTATGTATGTGTGTGTGTATATAGATAGATAGATAGATAGATAGCTATCCTGAGAAATGTCAAATCAAATTCACAGATCTTTCCCCCCAGTAATGTATTACTAGAACATATCTGAATGTACACACACTCTGCGCAGTGGTTTTGAATTTCCTGGATGTGGATTGGAATTGTACTCGCATGTATTAGAAGGAGCCCTGCTCACCGGAGACCTGAAGCAAGGAGTCCTTGCCAAGACGTTGGAAGGATCCAGGGAACATGTAAGGGCCCAAGGCCCTCAGATGCCAGTCACAGTGGGGAATCGCGACAGACTTTAGGCAGGAGAGACAGAGGAAAGTATTCCCACAGCCCTGAGTTCTGGACCCAGGAAGGGGGCCACTGCCAGGGAAACTGGGAAAGAAACACTGGACTTCACTCTCCTCCCACTTTTTAATCTGCTGCTGCCTCCAGTTGGCCAAACTGAACTGCAAACCAGCAGACAGGGTGTGTGGGAGGTGGGCTGTCAGGGTCAGCCTCCTGCATAGAGACAGGGCATAGGATGGATCTGAGTAGGGAAGTTGTATTACTTAACCCTGTTTAAAAATAGAGCCACACCTGCCTTCAGAAATTATGAGAATTCACTATCAAATATGTTTAACAAATGGCCATTCTTGTCACTTTACTTACTGATGGTAAGAGACTCAGCTGTCTCTGCATATTTGTCTTAGTTCTGTTTTCACATCCTACCTCGGCAGTTTTCCCAATCTTTTCAGCCCTTACTGCTCTCCCCTCCTTTGTCATGTTTTTCTTGACATCCACTTGTTGTGATCTTTCTAAGTAAATGTCTGTTAGTCCGCTGCCTGTTTGCTGTTGGATCCATCGCTTGCTGTCATTCTCATCAATACGCTGCAGAGAGCCACATTTCCCCAAGTCCCTTGCCTCTTGACTTCTGGGTTTAGCCAGTAGGAAGCACTATTGCAAGATTAGATGGAGAGCAGGAAGAGGAGAGAAGCCAAGGCATTTCTTCCTGTCTCTGTCTCCGTCTCTGTGTCTGTGTCTCTATCTCCATTGATCTCTGTCTCTATCACCTCCGCTTTCTCTGATGTCTTTGGTAACAGTGGCATCCCTTTGGCTCTGGCTCCTCTCTGGATGATCCCAGCTCCTCTGGGTAGCACCCTCCTCCCACCGTGTAGAGCTGACTTCTGGCTTCTGTAATATCGCTTCCTCTTGCTATAGACGTGGTACTAGTTTCTCACTGCTTCTAAACTCTGGCTGCCTCAGTGACCCTTGTTTGGCTTCTCATCATGTAGGTGACCAATCCCTATATTAAATTTACTTTGTTTGAAACACCTGTACTGTTTGCTTTCCTGGCTGGATCATGTAAAATAGGATGCTCTATTTTTTCCCCCAAACTGATGGTAAAGGCCTCAAAAGCTGAATGCAGCTGTCTAATTATCTGCTTTGTGTCTACAGTGCTTAGCATGATAAAAGCAACATGTCCAGCCAGTGTTTATGCAGGATTGCTGAGGAGACTTTCAAAAAGTGTCAGTTAAGGGAACTGTGTAGGTTATATAAGCTTGGTATTCTCTATGAATGTTAGGGTTCTCCTTCTTACCAGTCTTCTTGCCTCTTTTTCTTTTCTTTTTTCTTTTTTGGTACTGGGAATCGAACTCAAGACCTTGTGCTTGCAAGGCAGGTGGCAGAACCACTGAACTAAATCCCCAGCCCTTTTCTTTCTTTTTTTGAGTATTAGTTCTTCAACTATAATGCTGATGAAAGGCTTCACACTGTGTGATTTCTTCTGATAAAAAAGTTCAACAAATATTGTGTTTTAGAATATTTAGATCAACTTGATTCTAACCTGCTTGCCAAGAAAGATCATGTTGTGCTTAGTTAACTATTTGTCAGCCTACCCGATCAAAACACTGTATCTATATTATTCTTTTGCATAATATTAAAATATTTGCCCAAATAGGTATTGCTCTGGTTTTGTACTGTTTGAAGATGTTGAGAATGTAGTTACCTAAAGCCTTTGAAAAATTATTTTACATGAACGATAAAGAGGTATATTATTCTGTATCTTTCAGAGATGATCTTGACAGAAAACTGCAAGCTATTGCTGTTTCAAAACTATTGAAAAATTCCTCTAATCAAGTGATATTTCTGGGATATATCACTTCAGCACCTGGTTCCAGAGATTATCGACAGCTCACTGAACATGGCAATGTAAAGGTAACGCGATTATGGATATATGATTTATCAAATAAAATGCTTCTTTATCATTCGTGTTTTTTAAGCAATCTAGTGTAACAATTTAAAAGGTATTCTGATTATCTGCTGTTACACAGAAAACCAGGAAACACACCGAATTAAAACAATAGCAGTCATCGGTTAGCTCACAAATCTGCAGTGTAGACTGGGACTAGGGGCTAGTTCATCCCTGCCTCATGCAGGTCAGCGAGGTGCTCAGCTGAGCACTAGAGGATCTCCCTTGCAGACATTTCATGGATGGAAGGTTGGAGCTTTAGGCTTTTGGCCCAGGTTCCTGTGTACATGCGACTTGATTTTCTTCTGTCCTTGGTGTAATGTATAGGAGAAAACCAGGGAGAACCTGAATTGCTCTGAATGACTTAGTTGCTTAAGACTCACAGTGTTACATCTACTCTTGTCACAAGTCTGATGACATTCAACTGAAAGAAATATAAGCCTCACCTCTTGATGGGAGAAATACCAAAGTCTCGTTATAAGAATACCACGTAGACAGTGAACTATTACTGTAACTATGATAAGAGTGTATAATCTGCCACATTATGAAAGTTAATTATGATGCTGAGAGTACAAGATGAAATATCAGGTAGAGAATGGTAGTCAGCTAGATAGGGTGTCACCAAGTGGCCCCGAGTTAGTCTTCACCTTTTCAGGTTTCATATACTTGAATTCATCAAGGTACACAAATATAATCAAGCTCTGGAGGTGGCACGCAGTCAAATCCTCAAGAAACACTAAAATGCTAAACGCATTCATTTATAATAAGAAATATAATTGTTGTAGTTAACTGCGCCTTACGTGTATTTCTTGGTCCTTTTCATTTTGTGTTTAACCCCATGTCTCTGCAGAGAAAAAGCCTTATGTAGTTATGTTGATTTGGCTACTTTAACTCTTGTTAGAGTGGAACATTGGAAAGACAGGTAGCAGAGAGCACGACACAATGAAGGTTTTCAGCATGTGACAGAAAACACAAATAACAGTGGTTCAAATGTGAAAGAATTGTGTTTCTTGTCTGGGCAGGTGAATCTGTGTCTGGAATTTGTGCTGCTTTACTGTGGCACCACTCCTGTGGCCTCCACTCTTGTAGCCTCTACTCCCGTAGCCCCGTCTTGTAGAACAAGCATCTGTGTTCTAGTTAGCAGGTGAGAGGAAGGGACCACAAACATATGCAAGTTATCTCTAAAGGCAAGATCCAGAAAACTGACTCCTGATACTTCTTACATTTGTTTGGTGGGAATTCAGTCATATAGCCATGCTTCGGGGCACAGAAGCTTAGGAGGTGCAATATTCCACCTCGATGGCCATACATATACTAGCTAAATGTGCCATCATTTTGGGAGAATGGTAGATACCGGGGACATAAGTTAGTCTCCACATTTGTGGACAAGGCAGGGAGTAGTCACGATGGACTCCTGATTTTTGCCTGTGGTCAGAAGGTTTATGGTGATGACATTTATTATCTGTTCGTATTGCTGTTGTTAAAGAATATGTAAGGAGGAACAGTTTTTCAAAGAGATGCTAGTTCAGCTTTGGGCTGAGTTTGAGGCATACACGGGACTTTAATAGAGGTGTCCAGTAGGCAGGTAGATAAGTGGATCTGAAGTTCAGAACAGCCATCAGAACTACAGATGGGGATTGAGAAATGGCCACAATGTAGGTGATCACTGAAACAAAGGAGGTAGGTGATGTTGCTTACAGAGCTGAAGAAGTGTACTAGAAGAGCAAGCCCTTGAAGAAGCCACCCTGAGTGTTGCTGTTGTGTTGGTGGTGGGTGATGAAAGAGAAGGTAGGTGAGACGAGTTAGAGGAAAACAGAATAGTGTGGAGTCAGGCTGTATCAGTTACCTGTTGCTGTGCAAAAACCACATCAAAATATAGTGGCTTGAAGCAACATTTCATTTCCCCACCATTCTGTGGATCGCCTGGGTGGTCTCCTATTCTTGCCTGCATTTACATGTGCAGTAGGCTCATGGCTGCACTGAGGCTGGAGAGGCCACAGTGGCCTACACAGGCATACACACAGGCATACATTTGGGGCCTTCATGCTGGGTATCTGTCCCTTCACACGGTCCTTCATCATTGTAATCCTTGCTGGACTTCACTGACTAGTGAGGTGACCGGGGGACAAGTTACTCCGCCTCTCAGGACCTCAATTTCCTCATCTACAAGTGGTGATAGTAATATCCACTGTATCCTAGGGTTCTTAAAATAATTAAACATAAAACAATGCCTGCAAAGCCTCTGAGCCTTATATATGTGTATTGTATGTGTCTGGCTGTATGTAAAAAATCAAGTAAGATAGAAATATAAGGACCTGACCTGTAAAGTACAAAAGACAGTTGGACAAGATGACATATGGCAAGTCTAAGGCAAGGCTGCTTCCTAATTAGGAAGGAGGGTGTGCTCACATGTGTGTGAAGGGTATACATGGTATCAGGGAAGAAGAATTCTATTTAATCCTCTGTTGGTTTCCACTGGCAAGGTCAAAAGCTGTGTTAAGATTGGCAGTGGATTCTGATACTGCTTTTTCTATTGGGGAGTTTATTAATATGGAGAGTAATTTCAACCATAAAAGCTTGAATGAACATATTTTTCTTTTTTAAGATGTGAGTATTTAAATTTTGCAGTCCTAAAATTTGACAGGATCCTTTAAAAACCTAATAAGATAATAGTTAAACAGATTTAGTTATTACTTTCAGTATAAATAAAGTACTATAATTTGTATCTCTTCCTAAGGAAAATTAGAACAGTGCTTTTTTATCTATTTGCTGTTTTCATCTATAAATGTTTTCAATTAATTTTTTAGAAATGCCTTTTCATATATGTAAAAATGGCATATGTGTGCTATAAATAAAAATAAAGATTAAGACATAGATAGTAAATTGTGGTATATTCTTTTAGCAGTTTAACATTTTTTTAATTAAAAAATTTTTTTTGATACCGGATATTGACCTTGGGTCCTTGTACTTGTGAGGCAGGCGGCAGATCCACTGAGCCAAATCCCCAGCCTTGAAATTAAATTTTAATATTAAAATTCGGAGACAGTAAGCACCAGGTATATCTTTATTTATAGCTATTTTAAAAGAAGGAAATGAATGTTTCTTCCTTCAGTTCATATTTATAGGCTTCTCAACACATTACAGAAGATATGTGTTTCTGGTTTTCTCTGATGAAAAATGGTCCTCCCTTCAAGCTTTCGATGTCGTAAAGACTCGTGATTTCTCCAAGATGTGTTTATTTCCACAGTTCCGTTTAACAGAGTGAGCACCTGCCTGCTGAACACCGAGCTCCATGCTAAGTACTAGGCAGCCAAAAGCGATTCCAAGTCCCTGTGCTCAGGCAGGGGAGGGTGCAGACACAGAAACAATTAACCGTGGCGCGGCGGCGCAGCTGGTGTGCATGGAGCACGACACAGGAAGCCGGGAGCGTGCGCTCCATTCCGCTCAGGAGGAGAGGCTTGGGGAAGCTGCAGGGTGCCGGGGCTGTCTTGAAATCACTGATATGCCTGCCTGTCTAATGCCCTCTTCAGACCACCTTTATCTTTGTATTCCCAGCCTCTGGTACAGAGATAGAGCTTAGTAGATGCTCAAGAAACACCTGTAGAATGACCAAATCATTTGGACTCCAAAGGATCAGTAGGGACCAGAAAGACAAAAACAACACAAAGGCAGATTTATCACTGTAGCTCACAGTTTGGAAGAGTATTGGTTTTTATGCTGAGAAGATTACCCTCTCTGCTCTTTGACAGGATATCGACAGCACAGACCAGGACAGGTGGTGTGAATACATTATGTATCGGGGGCTGATCAGGTGAGTACAGGTGTTTGGATTTTGGTCTTTTAAAACCTATTATTATTACTGTCATCTTGTGGATTTCTCCTAGAAGGAAAAACCTTGTGGAAGTAATTAATTTCTGTTACTTTTTATAAACATTAATTTGGCTACTTACACTAATATTTTTTTCAAGGCATGGCCTAATGATTTCCAAAGGATAAGTAGCTCAGCAAATTAAGCTTAATTTTGTAATGAGGAACCCGTGTAAACTATTCAGCAGAATAAGCATTGCCAGCACATGGTAGGAATGGTCCTGGTTTTGACTGTGTGGCGTGGTGGAAATGCATGGACCAGTGCAGCTTTCTCAGCCTCTAATCCCATCCTCTTAGTTAACTAACTTACAGCAGCCATCTCTATACTATGGTGAAATCTCTGGTAAGTTATCTTTTTAAAAATATCATCCCATATCAAGTAATATACATTTAGACAGTATATGATTCAAAATCATACAGATGGAAGATCTCCAAATTCAAATATATAGCAATGTAAATTAGTTTCGAAGGTAGTACTCCTTTAAATAAAGCGAAGAGGGGTTTAAAACTAAGTAAGGAGAAAGTAATCCTTCACTCTTTTCTGTAAGCCTTTCTCATGTACCAGGTATTATTCTAAGCCATGGGACTATCATAGGAACGAAACAGAACTCCTGCCCATCATGAAACTTACATTCCAGGGAAAGAAGGCAGAAAGTGAACAAATCAGGAAGAGAATGATGGAAAAGAAGCCAGCCAGGCAGGGAGTGGAGCAAGAGGGAGGCACCTCAGAGAGGTCAGTGGGAGCAGATCATGCCTACCAGGCTGGGTTGCAGGTTCCCCCACTTACCGGGTTCCTCAGCACAGCGGTCAGGCTGGATACCTCCCCTGAAGTGTGGGCCCCTCCAGTGACTGTGGAAGCTGTTTGGAGCTGTCTGACCTGAGCCCTGTAACCTTCTAGGAGCAGTGCAGGGGACTCTCACATGGGTTTCTTGGGCAGACCTCTCTGGGCCCTGTTCTCCTTGCAGAGCAGTTCACCATCCAGAAGCACCTTGGCCTGAAGATAAGGGCTGAAACTAAACTGTGCAATCCTCGAGTAACCTCGTACCTTATGATCTGTGATCTGCATTTCTGAAAGACAGTGCTGCCTTTTAGGGATGATTCAGAACCACAAAGCCCAACTCTGCCAGTGGGGGCATGACTTGTTCAGCCAGGAGTGACAGTTTAGTGTCAGCAGACTGGTTGGTTCTCCTGTTCTATGCTCCATTTGTCATTCAGCAAGTGTTAACTGAGCATAATGGATAGCAGGTACCAGAGGTATAGCAAGAAAAAAAACAGAGAGGCAGGCATCCCTGCCCTGCAGGAAACACGGATGACAAGCATCGTCTTTAATTGCATGGTGTAGTATTTTAGAAGGTGATGAGTGGGAGAAGAAACAGAATATGGAGGTGGGTTGCAACTATAAGTAAGGAATTGGGGAAGGCTTACTGACGAGACAACATGGGAGCCAATGTTTGAACGAGTGGGCCATGTGGCTATCTGGGAGATGACCCTTGCTGGTAGAGATGCCAGCTAGTGTTTCAGAGTGCTAAGGCAGGAGCGCTGCTGTATTTGAGAAACAGTGAAGCTAGCAAGGCTGCCGTGTATGTGGGGCAGGGTAGGAGGAAGGAGAGGCAAGGAGGGAAAGGAGCAGATCTTGCAAGGTTCTGTGGACCCTTTTTAAGGACTTTGGATACTGTACTTATCAGGCCATGACCTTCACTGGTCCTTGAACAACCCCTTGTTTTATAAACTCACTGAGGTGGGCCCAGGAGGCCCTTGAGATGCTCTAAGATTGTTCTTGTTACACTAGTGGTTTAAAAAACCGAAGAAGGCCCCAACACCTGCCTTCATGTCTGCAGGACAGGCTTTGAGTGCTATTTTGGCATTTACCAAAAATTTGGGTGGTAATGCTGCAAAATTACTTTTGTAAAGTATTTTATATCTCATATTAATAACACTGTTTCTGTTTAAATATAGGTAGAAGGGTTTGTTTTGATAGGAAATATCAGAATACATTTTTGTTTTTGTTTTTTGAGACAGGGTCTCACTATGTAGTTGAGACTGACCTGCAACTCACTGTGTAGCCCCAGGCTGGTCTCGAACTCACAGAGATCCTCCTGCCTCAGCCTCCCCAGTGCTGGGATTATAGGCATGTGCCACCACGCCCAGCTCAAAATACATTTTTAAATATCTAAACTGAAATAGATATAATTCCAAGTTGCAAAATTGTTCACCAAGAAACAGAGGTATTTATAGCAACCAGTGCCCATAATAGCTAATGGCTGAGTTCTGAGACCTTTACTACCTCTCTTCAGCAGAGCGGATGGCTAACACAAAAGAAACCTTTGTCTTCCAGGTCTGGAGGCTGTTGAGTCCAAGATCAAGGAGCCAGCAGGGTTGGTATTTGCTGAGGGCTCTCCCCTTGGGTGGCACAAGGCTGTCTTCTTGCTGAGTGCCTCTAGAAAGCTCTGTCTCCATCGCCTAATGCATGCCCTGCACTTGCAGGTGCTAAGTAAATTCATATTGGACAGCAATGGAAGATTCCCCATTTTAGTGAAAAATTTGCATTGTCCAGTCCCTTTTCTTCAAGGACTTTGGGACTAAAAAACAATGTCTATGAAATGTGTTTAAACTTTGATCATTGAAATTTGGTGAATAAAGTAACTAGATTTATCAGAGATAGTGATTTAGAATTACAAGGAACCACAATTTCTAAAGTTAGGCAAATGTATTAACCTGTCTGACAGCTCCAGCCCGCCTCTGTCGCTCCATTGAAGCTCTTTTCTTGCCCCTCACGTGGGCAGACTTGCTGCCTCTGCCTGCTTTGGTTTCTGTCTCGTGTGCAGTTGCAGGCTTGATTTAAGTACTCTTCTTGCCACTCAGGCTGAAGCCTCATCTTTCACCGAAGTTATACAGTGGCCTTTTAATGTGTCTCCCTGCTTCCGTCCTCCCCCCCCCCCCCCCAGGAATTAAACTCAAGACCTTGCACTTGTGAGGCAGATGTGGCACCATCGAGCTAAATCCCCGGCCCCTTCAGTCCTTTGAAGGCTGTCACAATAGCCACGGTGTGTCTCTCTCTCTGCTCCAGACCCCTCTAGTGGATTCCCATCTCATTCTCAAACAGAAACCAAAGTCTTCATAATGGTCTGCAGGGAAGGATTTTCATTGTGTGTCTCCTGCCCTGACCCCAAGCTCACTTTTCTCTTAAGTTCTCCCTTATGCACCCTATCTCCAGTCGTAGAAATGGTTTCCACAAACACGCACAGGCCTACATCAGGCCTTTGCATTTTCTGTTCCTTTCCTGTAACACCTTTTCTAGTACCCATATGGATTGTGTCCCTTATTTCATTTTTTTAAAGTCACTAAGTTTATTGGTACATCTTAGGTATACAATATGATGACATTCATCATTGGGAATTTGTACCTTTATGTGATTTATTTTAGTTCTTACTTTTTCCCCATTCCCCTGCCCTCCCTTCAACCCCTCCACCCCTCCCTATTTACAAAGACTTTGTTTCCGTTTTTTCCTATTCTCATATTTTTTCTTTTCTTTCCTTCCTTTCCCCTATCCCCCAACCTCCCCTTTGGATCTTTCCTTCCTATTTCACAATATCTAGTATACATTTTGATCCTCATTTACACTTTCGGTTTCTCACACCAGAGAAACTCTTCGGTATTTACATGCGTGTCCTATTTATTTCACTTAAGAGTATGGCCTCAGTGTGCATCTATTTAGCTATAAATGTCTCTAGTTTATCATTCTTTATGGCTGAGTAGTATACCCCATACACACACATACACACACAACACCAGTTGATGGGCATTTGGGACATTTCCAAGATTTAGCTATTACAAACTGTTGCTACAAAGATGGGTGCACATATATCACTTGGCATGATTCTTTTAATTCTGTTGGAAATATACCTAGCAGGGGAATAGCAGGATCAAATGGGACCCCTAATCATAGTTGTGAGGTATCACTGTACTGGTTTCCACAGTGGTTGCACCAGTCTGCACTCCCACCAACGATGGAGATGTGTTCGTTTCTCCCCACAACCCCACCAACATTTGTTATTGGTTGATTTCTTGATAGCAACTATTCTTTGTGATGTGAGGTGGAATCTCAGTGTTGTTTTCATCTGCATCTCTGAAATGACCAGTGATGTTGAACATTCATATGTTTATTTGCTGTTTCTACTTCTTTGTCTGAGAAATGTCTGTTTGTTTCAGATGCTCATTTTTGGGTTGGATATTTAAATTTGGGAGGTCTGATTTTCTAAGTTCTTTACATATTCTAGATAGTCGACCTTTGTCTGAGGAACCTTATTTCATTGAACATTTTGCTCCATTTAGATAAAATTTATGCCCTGACTACTCTAGAAATACCATAGCAATCTCTGCCACCCAGCCTTTTTTGTCTGCCTTACTTTTTCTTCTATAGTACATGTATCTATCACCATCTGTTAGATTTTATACATAGGTACTTATTTAATTTGTCCTCTATCTTGTTCACTACTTATCTCCAGTACCTGGCATGGTGCTACATGTAATAGGGACTCAAATATATATATATTTACTTCACTAAATAAATGAGTGCCTGAAATTAATGTAATTTTTTTTTGAAAGAGGCAAAGTATAAATGAATTCTTTGCTCCTGTGGTTCCCTCATTTTCTGTCTGAGCTCCTCAATGAGATTTATTAGGATAATATCTACAAAGTGCTCTGAGTTACCTGTCGAACTGAAAATCCTAAGCCAAAACAGGACATGGAATTTTTTCAGACATGAAATCTTTGATTTTAGATTTCTAAGTGTGGCTGAAAATATGCACGTGGCGTTTGGATTTTTAAATATAAGAAAGAATTTTGGTATATGCTGTCATTCTGAAGAAATCCTGTTATTAACTCAAAACGTAATTACGTGGGAAGCAATTTATATAGACACAGAACATCCATTAATGTAAAAAAGTAAAGTAAGGTTGCTAAGTTTATTTAGTTAATTAAATCTATGTGCCTAGTTTTTCCTCATGTACTGTATCATAGAAGCACTATTTTTAAAAAATATTTGAAGTAACAAGCCAAGTTCATTTCAGTTGCAGTATTCAGAGGCAGGTTAGAAATGGAAATTGATTTAATAATGAAGGTTCTATCTGCTAGATCTCATCGGGTTTTTGAAGGTGGGATGTGCTGGCACTGAACTCAGAGCCATCCATGCACCACATATGTGTTCTACATAGTAGATTTTTATATGATAGTAAAATCTTAACAGACCATCCCTATTTCTTTTACAGGTTGGGTTATGCAAGAATTTCCCATGCTGAGCTAAGTGATTCTGAAATTCAGATGGCCAAATTTAGGATCCCCAACGACCCCATTAATTACAGAGACAATCAGAAAGTGGTCATAGACCACAGAGAGGTTCCCAGGAAAATTCACTTCAATCCCAGGTAAGTGCCTTCATGTTGTAGGCTACGGTTATGAGTGACCACAGCCTGTCTAGGGAACCTAAATGTTACCTCAAAACAGGCTAGAAATCATATTTGGTTCTAGAGGTTTGTTCTCAATAAGAGAGCACATGATACAGATTATAAAACCCTACTGGGGTTGAAGTTAGTGTCTCCAGGCTGTACTCTCAACACCAGGTAAAAGACCCCATCATCACTGTTGTCATTGTCATAGTCATCATCCGTATCATTGTGATGCCCATTAATATCACCGTGATAGTGAATATTTGGATGATGCTAAGTCCTAGACCTGTTCTGGGTTCTTTGTGTGTTACCTCCGTTTACCTTCACTGGGCTATACCCATGTTATCCCTGTTTTATTTTATTCTGGTTTTGTGGTACTAAAGTTTGAACCAAGTAGCTGGGATTACAGGCATGAATGACTGTGCCCAGATTGCTTGGTTTTTAGTAGAGGTATTTTGGCAGCAAAATATATTATTTTGCATATGTAGTCTTTTTTTTTCCCAATATGGCTGGATAGTGAGAGGAAAATTCCCTGTTAAACCAAACACAGGACATATTCTAGACATTATTATTGACACTTATTCTAGTTTTACCTGTTCATAACTGTATAAGTTTCTCAGACCTCATTTTATTAAGGAGAAAGAGACTCTTCTCCATTCTCTTTGTCTTTCTTGTCTCTGCGTACAATAAGGAAAAAAATGCAGAGTTTTTGAATATGGGGAGAGCTGTCTGCTTCCGTGACTACACTTACGTTACTCTGTATGAATGGGGTGTAGTTGCCGAAAGGATGGACTGTGTGGTCCAGTTGCCCATTTCAGTTCCCACTCTGGTCAGAAAATAGTAGGGGAGCTGTGATCCAGACGCTTAACCTCTGGAGACCTCCAATTCCTCACCTAAAAGGCATCAGGGAGGCGGATAGTAGATCCTACCTGTAACAGAGTTTCAGGTGAGTACTCAGTCTCACCCAGCAGCTGCAACAGCAGCAATAATACTTGTAGTAGCAACACAGAAATGAAATGCAGCACTGGGGATTTAGCTCAGTGGTTCTGCTGCCTGTCTTGCAAGCACAAGGATCCAAGTTTGATCCCCAATACCAAAAAACAAACAAAAAGTGAAATACAGTGTTTCCCTCCATTTGCTAACTGAAATGAGTTCTTAAATGAAAGCTAGATATTCTAGGATGAATGAGATCTGTTTTGATTCTTCATTCTTCATATATGTAGAGTGTGGAGAAATCTAAATACGATATTTTTGGCTAACCACTACTTCAGACTGAGCCAAAGCAAATGCGACCAGGGCTGGGTATGCTTTCCCACTCAATTTAGTTATGAAAACTATGAAGACATAAGTAGAAGTCCTGTCTTAATTTGAGAATTGTGGTGAAAAGATTTAAGATATCTCTCAGCAGTTTCAAACACATAACACATTATTATTAACTATAGCCACAGTGCTTTACAATAGATCTCCAGAATTTAATCATCTGGTATTAATTATATTTTATATCCTTTGACCTCCCAGTCAGCTCCTGGTAACTTTCCCACTCTTTGTTCCTATAAATTCAATTCCACAGACAAGTGAGACCATATGGAATTTGTCACCTGTGCCTGGCTAATGTCTTCCAGACTCATCCATGTTGTCGCAAATAGCAGGATTTCCTTTTTTAAAGCTAAATAGTATTCCATATGTGCATGTGCACAGGTGTGTGTCGGCGGGGGGAGTATTGGAATTGAACTGAGGACTTTCACACTGAGCTACATCCCCAGTACTTTTCTGCCTTTCTTTATTCTAAAATAGCGTCTTGCAAAGTTAGTAAGTTTTCCAGGCTGGGCTCAGACATGCAATCCCATACCTCAGCCCCCAAGTGTGCTGGGCTTGCAGGTATGCACCACCATATTTGACTTACAGCAAGCCTTTTATGATCTTTTGTGCTTTGTGGTATCAGCGGAAATGTCTTCTTTTTCACACATACTTTTAATTTTTTTTTTGGAATGAGCCATAACCATGGAGAGAGAACATTGAAGGTTAACATTTGGATCTGCCTTTTCCATATACATAGATATTTATTTCTTCATATGCTATTTTATAAATTAACCACATTAGTACTAGCTTTATAAGAGACAAATAAAATGACAGTAAGTTATATTTGAAATTTTACATAGAAGAATACATTTCTAAATGGTCTTTGCATGACAGTTATTTCTTTTTTAGATTTGGATCCTACAAAGAAGGACACAATTATGAAAACAATCATCATTTTCACATGAATACTCCCAAATACTTTATATGAACTATTTTAAAGAAAAAGTAATTGACTGGGAAACTCTAAGGAAAATATTATGTGAGATGAAAAAGAGTTTAATGAAAGTGAAAAAATACACATGAAGAACCTCAATTTTCAATAAAAGGAAAAAAAAAAAACAACAAAAAGAACCTCAATTTTTAAAAGCATGGTATCTCTGCAGGGGGTATTTCCAGCCATTTAAAAAATGTTACTTAATAAAAGCATTATTCAAATAATTTTTCTTAACTTTAAAAAAAATAAATGTGAACTAATATAAGAAAGTTGTATTGCTAGAGATAAAATAATTTGAAAATAACTTACTTTTTAAATGTTGAAATGCAGGAAAATGACTTATTTATTAGCCAAAGGATGACTTAAAAAAGTCAAGAAGTCTTGAATGCTTTTTGGGATAAAACAGTGAAAAAAATGTTTACAGGTTAAACCTAATGGTTATAAGGATAATGCTGTGTGGCTGCTACTGGCCCCATCTCCAGCCTTCCCTGAGCTGTGGTGGGATCACTGTCTTCTCTGGAGCTAACATCACACCATGGCTGGACATGTGCCAGTGCCTCCCAGTAGTCAGACCACCAGGCTCTCAGGGAGCACAGGTCTGCACGCTGCAGGATCCCACGGAGTGAATGTCTTCCTTAGAACCAAGTAGGTAGGTGAAGGGGGGACTCAGCCTGACAGTACTGCTCTGTGGGACTAGAGATTTCAGTGTTGCCCATGGAGACATGTAAAGTCTTAGAACCGGAAGGAATCCCGGATTTGTTTTATCTTTTGGGACAGGGATAAAAGCTAGAAGAGAATATCCAGACATTTTATGTCACCATCTAAGGTGCCTCCACTCAAGCCTTACAGAAGATGTTGGGGCTTCTCTTTCTTAGTCTCACTGTCTTGAAGAGCCAACTGCTGCATGGTGAGACGCCTTCTAGAAGGGTGGTGAGCAACTGATCCTCCAGCCATAGCCAAACTTCAGATGACTTTAGCCCCAGATGAAACCTGTTTTGAGTGTGTGGTGCTGGGGACCAGAACCTCACTCATGCTGGGTGAGTGGCACCCCCAAACTCCCAGCTGATATCTTGATTGCAACTTCATGGGAGCTTGGAACCCCAATCATCTAGCTCTGTCACTCCCAAATCTTAATAGATATTAACTATTTGTTATTTTAAGCTACTATGTATTGTAATCATTTGTTAAGCATTGATAAATAAATAATATAGTAGCACTTAAATGTACTCATATTTGAGAAACTTTGAGAATCTGGCAACCACAAGCATATTTATTCAGTATCTGTTATAATCCATTGTACTATACTAAACATAGGGTGGTAGTGGGAAGTGTCATTTAACTGAAAAAGACACTGCCCTAAACTCCAGTGTGGGAGACAGAAAGATACAAATACAGCTTGAATAGTACACTGATTGACTTACCTTCTACTAAACTAGGCACTTTACCAGCATTGTCTCTTGACAGCAAGGCTTCAAGCTTAAGTAGCTCAGATACCAACTGGGGTCTTTCGACCTTCCAGCTCTGTACAAGATAGCCCAATCCCTGTTTATCCCTATTTCCCTCCCTCTAAAAGAGCATCCCTTGCATGACTTTTGTGAATCGTGGGAACTAAAGGGAGAAAGACTCATATTCTTGTAGTTACCTCCCTCAGTGATCTCTCACTGTCATATTTAGTTCACATGTGGTCTTGCTGTTGCATTTCTGAAACCCACATTATGTTACTACATGAGGCAAATACAAGCAAAGAATGAATTTATTGCTCCTAGCCAGTGCCTGGCTCGCAGCAAGTGCTTACTATTTCCTACAGTTTTGAGAGCCAGATCTACACACAGCGAGAGTTGCCTCTATTTTATGAGAAGCAAACAGAACTCACCTCTTTCCTTGACTTCCCAAAAGCAAAACACTATGTGTTTTAAATGTCTCATATTTTAATAAAGTCTTAGAAGGACAGACAGGTTTTATGTCACAGAAACTTAAACATCTTCAAATAGAAAATAGTCCCTTGTTTTAGAAATCCTTTGTCTCTTTCCCATCATATAGTTTAACTATCTGTCTTTTTTTGCAGTTGATTCTATTTTATTTTAAAAAATTACTTTTTATCAGTATATGTTTGCAGTACATAATTATTGCATTCATCATGCAGAGTTGGTCCCTGCTCATAACACATCGTAATTATTTTTATGTCCCTTCCCCTTCCTCCATCTCTTGGTCCTATTCCTACTTGTGAGAGATGTATCTCCCTGTTTCCTATTACCTGTCACAAGCTAAAATATCACATGGTTTCTCTTATGTGAGAAATAAAGAGCAAAATAAAAAACAATCTCTTTTCTTTTCTGATTTTCCACACCTCTCCTAAATTTCTGTTCATTTCTAATGTGAGTTAGACTGACACTTTCTTCTTGGTCTCCTGCTTACTCACCAGGGTCTTGGGACCTCATTTTCTATTACAAATGATGTGTTCAAATGTGAGATTTTGGTACATCTCTCAGTAAATGATAGAAGAGGCGGAAATTTTGAATCACACAATTAAAGTTAACCCCAATGACATATGCAATACATTGTCCCATGTAACTTCAAATTGATCATTCTTTTCATGTTCACATGGAACATTTATCAAAACTGACCATATGCTAAGCCAAAAGCAAAATGAAACAAAACTAAAAACCACAAAGACTCAACAGATACTGATTTTCTAAATTAATATAGAATATATTTCTTGGTGACAGTAAACTAAGCTATAAATAAATAACAAAAAGATAATGAGAACTCTCCAAATATCAGCAATAGATTAATAGATTTCTAAGTACTTGATGGGTCAAAGAAGATATCAAAATAGAAATTAAAAAATACTTTGAACTAAATGGTAATGGAACTATGGCATATCAAAAATTGCGGGATATAGTTTTGTGTTTCAAGGCAAATGTGTAGGTTTTGTTTTGTTTTTGGTGCCAGGGATTGAACTGAAGGTCTTGTGCTTGCAAGGCAGACAGTAGCACCACTGAGCTAAATCCCCAGCCCACAAATGTGTAGTTTTAATTGGATGGACCAGAAAAAAAAAAAAGAAAAAAAAAGGCTAAGTATTCATTGGTACAAACTTGAAAAGGGAACAGAAAATTAAACTTAAAAGAGAGTAGAATAAAGGAAACAAAGATAAGAGCAGACATTAATGAAATGGAAAATAAGCAATTGCAGTAGATAAAAGTCAAGAAAACCAAAAGTTGGTAAACAAATAAAATTGAAAACTATTTGGTAGCACAGATCAAAAGAACAGTAAAGTGAGAAAGCAAAAAAGAGCAACTGCAGGATGAAAAGGTAGAGACAACTACAGATCTTCCAAACCATCATAAAGCAAATAAGAATTTATGAACAATCTTATAACAATCGATTTGCCTAAAAACTGTAAATTACCACAACTGATGCAAGAAGCAACAAGAGACCTATTAAAGTCACAAAATTTATAATTAAACAAGAACAGAAGTCCTGAGCCATGCAGTCAAGGTCAGAGGCAAGGAAAACCAGCCTGAGTTCCATGCACCCGATGTATTCCAGGTCGTTCCTCTGGCTGCTCTTGCTCTCTCTCACTTTAAGTCCTTTCCCCACATTCTGATATACAGACTTCATGCTCTGGCATCAGGACTGAAGACACCAGCCTTACACAGTCAGCTTAATCTGCTCCCACAGGTCAAGTTTCTATAATAAACCTGTATGTAGGAGATACGATAAAAATACTGTGAATGTTTAAATTTTAAAAATGCATTAGAAGCTAGGCATGGTAGTGTATGCTTGTAATTCCCGCACTCGGGAGGCTGAAGCAGGAGGACTGCCACAAGTTTGAGGCCAGCTTGCACTCTTACTCACATAGTAAGTTCAAGGACAGCCTGAACTGCATAGTGAGACCCCGTCTCAAAAAACAAAATCAAACTAAAAATGCATTAGAATAAAAGACACTTTGCTATTCAACTCCCTCAAAATACTCCTTTCTTTTGAACACATTTATCCTATCATTGTTGCATTTTCTGAAGCAACAGTGGAAGTTCTCTTTCATGAGTGTCTTTAGTTGTGCTGTCTTGGCTGCCTCAGTGTCCTGAATTGATTCAAAACATCTACCCCTAATGGTCACTTTGACTTTGGGGAAGAGCCAGGTGTCATAGGGTGCCAGATCTAGCACACAGATGGAAGAAGATGCACCATCATGTTTTACAAGCCTGCCTTTCCACTGTACCTCGGAGCTACACCTCTAAGCCCTCAGCTGATCCTGACTGCAACTTCATGGAAGACCCCAAGCCCCAATCATGTATCTCTGACACTCCCAAATTTTTGCAGATATTAACTATTTGTTGCTTTAAGCTACTTATGACTTACTATGTATAGTGGTCATTTGTTAAGCATCAATAAATAAATAGTATAGTAGCACTTAAATGTACTCATGTTTGAGAAACTTTGAGAATGTGGCAACCACATATTTATTCAATGTTGAGAGGGTGGGGGGAGAGAGAAAGACTGATAAAAAGGAAATCAGGAGATCTTTTTCAAATTGAAGAGGGAATAAGAGAGAGAGGTGGGTGAGAGGGAAGGGAAGGAGGATAGAAAAAATTGAAAGGAAAAAATGATGAAAATAGATCTTTTGCAAATGGGAAGAGGACCAAGAGTTGGAAGGAGCAGGGAAGGTGGAAGGGTAGGGGATGAAAAAGAGAAGAATTAAGATGTATGATGTTCAGGTACCATGAAAAATATAATAATTATGTACTGCAAACATACTAACAATTAAAAAATGAAAAAGGAGCAAACATTCATATGGCATTGTTACAAATGACTAAACTCGGGTAGATATTGATAGGCAGTTAGAAAGAGGGGAGGCTCAAGACAGAGTCGGAATAGAGATCAGGCAAACCAAACCCATGGTCAAGGCCCCAAGATGGAGACACAATGGCGAGGCCTGCAAGCCTCCCCAGGGAAAAGCAACAGTGCAAAGCTGTACTGCAACCAATACTATC